TTAATGAATTGATATTTTTTAATAGTTTTAACATTTAATTAAAATCAAAATTGATAAGACTAGAAATTACTTCCCCGTTTAATATACAAAAACTCTTGGAAATTATAAAATTTTCACCAAAATCAATGTTTAGATTTGAAATAAAGCTTAAGCCTAAGCCTAAGTATACCCTAAACCTAAACCTAAGCATTTTTTTTATTATTTAAAAGTCAAATGACCGGTGTATGTGACGAGTACTATTCAACGCTTATAAATTATTAAGTTCAAAATACGTATTTTTTTAATGATTTGATATTTTTTAATTTTTTAACATTCAATTAAATTGAAAATTGACACTACGATTTTTTGTTTATTTGATAACTCCTATTTTTTGATAATTCAATATACAAAAACTTTTGAAAATTATACGATTTTCATAAAAATCAGTATTTGAATTTGAAATAAAAGTTAATTTTAATTGCAAGAATGAATTAGATCTATGACTAACTAAAAATTTTATTATTTTCACAACTGGAATTTTACTCAGAACTTAATTATTAAAGTTTGTTTAATTATTTGTGCTGTTCAAATGACCAACCGTAAATACCAGTACCTATGCAACGCTTATAAATTAATCAATTAAGTTCAAAATCCTATTTTTTAATGAATTGATATTTGTCATTATTTTAATTTTTAATTTAAATTAATTTTTGACATTGCTAGAATTTATTTTACAGTTTAATATATAAAACTGCAATGAATTATTGAATTTTCATAAAATTTGATATTTAAGTTTGAAATAAAAATTAATTTTAATTATAAGAATGAAACAAAACCGTGACAAATAAAGAATTTAATTAATTTTGGTAATGAAATATTGATTAAAACCTAATTTTTAATGATTATTTTATTATTATGTTGATCAAATGACTAACGATAAATGAGCAGCGCCTATGCAATGCATAAAAATTAATCAATTAAGTTCAGAATATCAATTTTTTTTAATGAATTGATATTTTTCAATACTTGAACATTTAATTAAAATGAAATTTGACGGGATTTATTTCATAGTTTAATATACAGAAACTTTTAAAAATTGTACAATTTTCATAAAATTTGATATTTAAATTTATCACTGTGTTAGCTTCTAAAGATTCATATTCGTTTATTTTTTCTCCCACTGGCTTTTTCTATCTTGCACTAGCCCATGGTAAATTCCAGAATTATCGTTTATAAATATTGCCTGTCTTTGTGACCTTATTGTAATAAATTTTTCTGCGCTTTACACTATTCTGTGCTGGTGTAGAGCGGATTTTTACATTTCCTAATATTAGAAATTTCAATGTAAATGCGCTTACTATTTCGTTCTTTTGTTTCTTATTCTCCAGCAAAACCTATTTCAGCATATTGTTATGACAAATTAATTGAATCATCCTGTGTTTTTGTATTCTCCTATGCTAGAATAATCACAGTCGAGTGAACTACTATCTGTTCTATAATGAAAGAATTCCTCGTAAAAATGTTCACCATTTTGTTCCTTTTAATTTCTTTTTTTTGCATCCAGATTCACCGGGACATATACATGTGACAGATAAATCTCTAAGCTCTTTTATGCTATAGTAACATTATCTCAAAAACTATCTCTTTTCTTACAAATGTGTTTATTATATGCAAATTGTGTTTCAGCATTCTGTGAAGGCATTTCTTCATAAGTGTGATCCAATTGCAAAGAATGCCTTGCACTCTCCTTTATCATTGGGGCATGCTTTCTTTCAGTATTCATACTATCAGTATTGCAATATTCAGAGTTTCTTATCAACAAAAATTGTACTATAGGATGAGAGATTATTCCCTTTGGTAAGTTCTTTGATAGGTCCAACTATAAACTTTAAGACAGCTAGTGTTTCTCACAGTGTGCGTTATAGCATTCTTGTTATCTTTGTCTAATGTGTTAACATCAGCATCTGAACTGATAAATAATTCTATTATGTTGTTTGAGATTTTCTATAGCAACGCAAGTGCATCGTTTAAGTGCTGATATCCTTTTATTATTAATGGATTCCTTTCTCTTAGCAGATTAAAAGAGTTTATTCTAATGCATTGAAGAGGCCTAGAGCAGCTTTTAAAATTTCTTTATTGTCGTATTTGGTAGCTTGAATTAATAGTTTGCTTTTGATTCCCACTGGTTATGTCTCACTGCCCATATTCTTAGAAATATGTTATCTTACAGTGGTTGACTTTTATAAAATCGTCTAGTGTGTACTATTAAGTTTTATAAATTTTAGTCTTGCTTCCACCTTGCATATGGGTATTTTTTTACTCACATTCTTCAAATTTGCAGCCATGTTCAATAAGTTTAGGTAGAATGTTGCAGCAGTTTTGAAATCTGATAATTTATCTAGAACAACAGATAGATTATAGATATAAGAAAGATCATTTTGATCATGGGAAATTACAGTTACCATTTATTCCTTGGCACTTTTATAGTTTTTCTTTTTTATATAGATCAGAACTAACTTTGCTAAAAAACATATTTTTTTTATACATCATGGAATTTCAATATTCCACTTAACATTAGATCAGGATTGTACTGTGAATTTTTTGTTTGAAAGTTTTCTAATATATAAGAGTTAACAGAATATTCTTTTAAAAGTTTTATTAGTTTTAAATTCTTTTATATTGTTTATTAGCATAATAATTATCTCCTAGCCCAATTAAAGCATTTTTATGTTAAGCAATCTTGCAGAGACTTGATTAAAAAGAGAAATGGCTGTCTCACTATCTTCCGTCTCAAAGGAATCCTTTACCTTTTCTAAGATAGAGTGCATACTAAAGCTCTTACTGAAGCTCTTAAAATTTTAGTATTGAATTTGTCACTCTTTTTTTCAATAACGTCAAAGCCTTTACATTTTTTGTCAACTTTTATGTACTTAGCAACGCTATTAAAGGCTTTTTGTATCTCAAAATTTTCTTGGCATAGACAGCAGAAAATTCTAATAAAATCACGGTGCAAATTAATATACAGGCAAGTATAGATCTAAGTATTACCCCGTTGAGGTTACATATTGGTATCATTCCAGCACGTAACCTGAGCTATATGTAACACAATATAAATTTATAAATGCTACTCCACCCATCTCATATAATAATAAAGATCTTATTAATAATGGGGTCAAATATAAATTTCGCTATGCTGACTGCTGTTTTATAGCATATATATAGTTAGTATACTCATTTTATATTATGATATATTAATGATCTTATATTCTGGTAGTTTTTCCATCTACCCCAAATTAGTTATGCAATGTGTAACCTTAACGCTGTAATATTTGGATCTGTATTTGCTTGTATATTAATTTATGTCGTGATTTCATCAGAATTTTTTTTTTAAATAATTTTAGGTCTTTATTAATATAAAGTTAATATTAGACATTAACATAATTGCCTACTACTAAAATCTAAGGAATTCAATTCATAACAAAATTTACATAAAGGACAAATGTTTAAAAGAACTCCCGAATTTGTAAATTCAATTGCAGTTGAAGAAGTGGAATCACTTTACTTTGCAAAAGCTATTTTAGCTCATGCAAAATGCTCTTCTAATGAAGCAGAAGAGATAGCTGCTGTACCGAATATCTTCAATGGCCATGATTAACCTATAGAAGATAGTGTTGGAGTAATTGATAATGATGTGATAGATGTAGCAGGTTGTACAGTAAGCACAGATATAATGTAAACTACATACATTACAACAAACACGCATTACAACTTCATAAACTAAGAAATAATGCATTAACCACAATAAAGGTTTTTGCACTAGTACAAAAACTCCTGTTTTACTCTGTTTACTTTTATCGTGCTAGTTGACAACCAACAATTAGATGTCTGTATCAATTGACAATTTGAACACTTGATAAGCATAATTTGGAACTTCCTGTGTGATCATTATATCACGGGATAGCTCTCAATTCTGATGCAGTCATAAACCTGTACTTTTTTTCATCTCTTCTATATTTCTATTACCGGTATACCCCATTGCATTTTGCAACCCGCCAATTAATTGATGGATTACTCTTGAAACTGGACCTTTAAATGGCACACTTCCTTTCACTCCTTGTAGAACTAATTTGAGTTTTGAGTCTTTATCTTGAAACAGCGGCTAGCATAACCTTGTTTCATTACACTATAGACCCCATTCCCCTCGATAATCTTTATATGCTCAACCTTTATGCATGATAATCACACCTGTATTTTCATCATTATCAGTAAAAATTGAATCGATCATCACAGAATCAGCACCAGCTGCAATAGCTTTTGCAATGTTTCCTGAATCGTGCTTGGGTATCTTTACATGACTTAGGGTATTTATTGCATTTTTCAATGTCTTTAACTGTGATCAAATCTATACAGCAGGACTTTTCATCTATGATCAAAACTTTGCTATTCTATTCTCATGCAATAGTTTCATTGCTGAAGCGCTCCCGTATTGTAACTACTCTTTTGTCATTACCTCGGAGACTTTTTACTTTTTTCTGATTTTTTGATCATCAATAAACCTTATATCTCTGTTAGTTAATACTCCGACTAACTTGCATTGATCAACCACAGGAATACCAGAAGCTTTTTCAATAATGAAATTGCTTCTGCAACTGTTTTATCAGGGGAACAACACAGTCTGAAGTAAAAGAATCTGCTTAAATAACCAATTGACTTTTCTTGCTGCTTTGTTTTTGTGCTTATGTGTGAGGGACTCAACGTTTTGGTAAGTGTAGTTCAGTTGGTAAAGCACCAGCTTGTGGTACTGAGTGCGGCTAGTTAGGTTCTACCCGTTCTCTTCAATAAAATCCCCTTGCATTACGATGAAAAAAATGTGATGGTAGTCGTTGACTCTGTTGCGGTATTAACTCCAAAAGCTGAGGTTGAAGGAGATATGGGGTGATCAGCACTGGGATTACAAGCAAGCAAGGACTTTTTAAGTCACAAAAGCGAATTGTATATTGATATTTATCAATCAAATTCGTATGAAAATAGGGGTAGTACATGGAAACCCCGAAACTACCGTGGGTAGAAATGCGTTAAAATTCGTAAAGCTGGATATAAGAAAAGTTGGTGCAATAAAAGATAAAGAGAGTATTAAAGGCAATAAAACAAGAGTTAAAGTTGTAAAAAATAAAGTTGCTCCTCCGTTTAGAGAAACAAAATTTGGTATAATGTACAATAAGGACGTATCGAAACTTGGAGAAATAATAGATGTAGGAGTAAAACTTGGCGTCCTTGAAAAAGCTGGTGCTTATTAATCGTATAACAATAAACGCCTTGGACAAAAAAACTATTTCAAAGCAAACAAGGAATGAAGTAGAAGCAAAAATCAGAGATTTACTTACAAATAGTGGTAATTCTATTACAATGGAAAAGGAAAGCAGGTAGCTTTTAGAAGAAGCAGTCGTGTACATTTGTCGTAATGTTGCGGTTTCAATATAATTCTATTGTGGAATAATGATTTATTAAATCTTTTAGCTATAATATAGTAATTTGTGATGTTACCTTTTATTAGAAGGATTTTGTTGAAGCAGCATGTACTTAAAAAAAAAAAAAAAAAAAAGCTATTCATGAAGAGTGATAGATGATAAGTTGTTAATAACAGATTATCGTCAATAAGACTAGGTGTTTTAGTATAAATAAGGAGGGTTATTTCTTTATAGTAGTTTCTTTTATAGTGACATGAAGCAGTGGAGTTAGAAGGTTTATCGGTGTTCAATTTCACCCAAAGTTCCAATCAATCTAAGCCTCATCCTCTCTTTGTATCATTCATTAAGGTAGTAGTTAATAAAGTTAAGACAACAGAAGCAGAAAACAAAGGAAAGTGTTTAAGTGTCAACATATGAGTTTGCCGTTGAGTAAGCTAAGCTTGATGAGATTCCCCCAGCAGTACTGCTAGTTAGTAGAGACAATACCATCATTTCTTTCGCACATAATATATCCAACAATCCAACTGCACATGCACAGGGGTATTAGTGATGAGACAGGATGCAAATTGTATGTGAATCATCAGTACACTGTAGTGCTGACTGACATGTGCGCACATGGCCCATATGAAGAGCAGGAAATAGAAAAGCGTCAATGAGTTGAGGAAGTACGTCTGGCGCCGTATTGACCCAGCACGTCGTCTTGGGATCCTGCGTGGTCGTGCGCGTGGCTTTGGACGCCGTGCTGGCTGTGCGGTCGTGGTTACGGTGCACCAAGTGCTGGTTTCCCACAGACAATTCGCCATCAATCCAGCCGTTTAGGAGAAGAATTTGGCTTTGAGTTATCAGAAAACTTGTGGTGTTTTAAAAGTGCTGATTTCTTTCTGTGTCACTATTGTACTGTTTGTACACATAATAATAATTGATAGCTGTTTCCAATGACACTCTTCTTTTCACAGTTTTTTATTTGTTTTTTCTTTTCTCGCCCCGTTGATTTTTGCATCGCTTTGTCGGCGATTTATTCTTCGTTCATCCACAACAATTTTTTTTGTTAGACACATGTGCGCACTTAACATTAGAGATATGTGCGCACGTAACATTAGAGACATGTCCGATGTGTGCTCAAGCTATTTCCTTTAAGGGTTAGACGATTGTACTCTAGAGCCTATAATTCAAAAGGTGGAGAAATTGAAAATAGTGCTAAAATATTTCAGTTTTGCAACCACATACATGAAGTTTATGACGGGGTATCCGAAACTGAGTGCGCTTTTTTGTTTTTTTCTCAAAAAAATTTTTTTGAGAAACTGAGGGACTCTACCAATTATTATTAGGTTCCTTATATAACCATACATTTGATAGCATTCTGTCATTCTGCCCGCGTCCCGCGTTGGGTTAACTGATGAGCGTCTTCTAATCCTGCAATCTTTTCACTTTCACTGATGGAGAGACCAGTAAATTTGACAATAGTGTTGGTGTCAATACTATCAGCCAGCCTTTGTCTCTGCCACTTCAAATTTTCCTTCTTCCATACCTTGCAAGTTTCTGTTCAAGGATAGCTTCCTCTTTGTACAGATTCATTATTCTTTCTTCATACGCTGTTAGGTACTTTTCATCCCAGTGAAACTTGTTTAACTCATCATATGCTTAATTTATGATTACTACTTCTCCTGCTATCTTTTTTGAGTTTTTATCTGTTATTTCTTCTGCATACTTAAAGAAAGAAACACCAGCGTTCTACTATGCTTGTTAATTAGTCTACTTTACCTTTAGGAAATTTAGATAGTTCAATGAACACGAATTGAAAATCTTGTAAATCATGCTTACTAGTTTCATCGTCTCTTATGGTATGGCTAGATATATAATTGACTCACTCATCGGGAAATAAAGTGCAGTTTGATATTGTAATAAAGAAAATCTTTTGTAAATCCACCAGATAGCCTTGAGAAGCTTTGGCAATGTAATATTGAGCACGTTTTTCAAAGTCCTTGTCACGAATGAGCTCCATTTCAACCACAAACTTATTACCAACAGAATCGTTGAGAGAACATCAACCATGCTTTGTTTCTCAGAAGCAAATTCAGAATTTATAATGACGCTGATGAATTCTATTTTTTGCATAGTATTAACTTCAGTATACCCTAAAACATCGCTCAAAAATGGGTAAGGATATTCTTACTTATTTCGTGCCAAAGATCTTCTTGAAAGTCAGGTCCAGTTTTGGTAAGGAATTTAGAAAAAGCCATAACAAATTAACTTAAAAGTAATACACTATTTTTTGCAAATATTTAACTATATTTTTTAACTTATAATTTTAAGCTTCCTCATAACATTTAAAGTGTGAATGCAAAATATAATTCATCGAAATTTCGAAAAAAGTATAGCCTTACATTACCATTTTATAGCTCTATAAATCTTAGGAACTCTCTTACAAAATTGCCCCCCAGTAGATGCCAATTTTCTACTGTTCTCTCTTGCACAATATAAAAACAGTATTTCTTCTGATGCTTTGCTACCTTAATGTATAATATCAAGCTGTGTTATGACTAAAAGCTGTACAACTTGATAAACCTTGCCAATCCTTTATCATGAATTGAAGATGTTTATTTATTCTCAATCTGTACAGATTAAGCGTATAACAGGGATGGCTTCGTATTTTTTAACTTTTGCACTATTTACACCTCATGCCTTTATAAATCTTACCTAAATTTCAGGTTTTTACCTCCACAAATCGAAACGCACCTATAAAACGTTTAAGACAGTACGGCAATTTAAAGGATTAGAGAGTGAACAACTTCTATATGGAGTTCTTTTGCCTTTAATCTGCTGCTAACTTTGGTATCTCAATTCACTTTATTACACAATTTACAATAAACATAGGGGTAACGTTGGACACTCTTCTAACCACTTAGCATAACTTTGCCACTGCTTAGCTACGGCGGCTCCTCTTTTTTATCTTCGAGCATTGCACTTGGCATAATGCTGTCCTTAGTAGAAATCAGACTATCATATTAAATCTTCGTGAGCGTATTTCTTTTAAAAGACACGCTATAGACTAGTTCCTTTATACTATGCCTTTCCTCTTTCTCCTGAAGTCAAAATCCATAACTTAACTTTAGAAACTTCAAAATAAGATGCGATCTAATACCAGGCAATTATTTCATTACATAAAACCTAATCTGCATTATTTCATCACTTTTATCTTCAGCTTTAACGATTCTCCTTGTTGGCAGAGGCTTGAGTAACATAATCGATTGTGGTGCAGAGCACAACTTCACCGCTAAGCTATTAGTTACTATATTCATAGTTTTAGCCATTTCTCGCAGTGCATTTATTAGATTGTATTTCATTGGGATTGGCAATGAGAAAGTTACTGAAAGAATAGATGTGACTTACTGAAAGAATAGATTACTGAAAGAATAAAGAATTGATATGGTAATATTACTGATTTGCAACCAAGTTTCTTTGAGAATACAAGTGTTCAAGATGTCATCTCAGCTCAGCTCAGCACTATTACTGATACCTCTGGGCTGCTGCTACTGCTACTGTAATCAATAATACCAATGCTACCTACTTATTGTCATGACGTCACTTGGGAAGAAAGTGCGCAATTGTGCATGTTTTGCCCAGAATAAGCTAAGTGAGCTTGCATCACTCTTTGACGCCTTATCCTTAACTCCAGCTCTTGCAATGACCGAGCGCTGCGCCTGTTGCAGTGCCATTACCCATCCTGCCACATGCTCCATCGATGACTCTCCTGCTGCACCCTTGCCGACATCTCCTACCTCTGAAAGGCAACGCTCTACCCAGCTGAATATTGCTTGTGCAAAACGTGTACAGTCTTTTTTGCAAGCTATGTTTATTGAATATGGAGAAAATAAGCAATTTTTGTCTTTTTCTGAAATATCTCCAAATTATTTCAATATTCCAGAAAAGGAGAAAGGAACTTTCTTTGAGGGTTGCTTGAATGATGATTGTGCAGAGAAGGAAAAAGATGAGTGAATCAGAGGTAATATAATAACTCCAAAATCGATACTTGATACATACGGTGCAGATGTAGTGCGTTATTGGACAGCAGACTGAAGACTTGGTGTTGATACAATCTACTCTGAAAACATACTCAAAATTGGCAAGTGCCTCGTTACAAAACTTTTCAATGCCAGCAAGTTTGTTTCTAATTCATGGAAAGGTATCCAGCTGAGACAGTGGATCAATAGATACTGTCTAAACTATATAAAGTTATAGCAACGAATAACTTATTACAATTTGAATACTGTGAAGCTTTGGGTGCAATAGAAGGATTTTTTTGGAAAGACTTTTGTGACAATCACTTGGAATTAGCAACAAACAACAAGTTGTCGTGAAACCTCAAACTTGGATAATTAAACCTTTATTTAACATGAAGCAAATAATAGCGCTTTATACATATCATACCAATCGGATGCTACACCGATTAACAAACGCGTAACGAAAGATATAATTATAAAACATTAAAATGATATCAAAACCACCCCAAAATGCAGAATGAACCACCGTATGGAGGACGATGGTTTATATGCAGTACTGAGCTGACCAGATATCCGGCAGAGGATATTTAACTGATGTGAAACAAAGACTGCTAATAAAGAGTTTTGCTAACAAAGGGTTTGCTAACAAAGGGTTTTTGTGTGTGTGAGGAAAAGGAATTAGATAAGAGGAATTTGTTAGTTTTGGATATAATAATTTAAACTTTCACGACACAAGTGCATATGGAGATAAAGTAAGCAGCGAGGCAAAGTTTGACATATGTGTTGAATACTACTTTGCGGTTATTTGCTTTGCACCTTCTCTGCCATACATTACTGAACAAATATATCACCAACTATAGCTGTAATTCTGTGCACAATCGAATTGGCCGAATAAGGAAGGAGGAGCTATCTGTGATAAGCATTCTGAAGAAATGGAAGATATTTATGTAAATAGATATTAAACCTCGTGAGGAAAATAAAAGCAAATGTAAAAGAGGATAAGTTGAATCAGTCGGCGCAGAATGATTTACAGACAGTCGGCAATGCTGAAATGATAGAATGGAGTGAGAACGCACATGAGGACTTATAACTGATAATGGGAAGTTTATTGTTGGTAGGATTTCCTCATGTAAGGATATTATGTGGTCGATTCGAGGGTATGGGTGAGTATACTCCTCATATTGTTTCAGGAAGTGAACCAGCAGCGATGGTAGTTGTTGATGTGTGCGTTAGACTTCTTCCTGGTGTGGTAAATAATTCCGGTAGTATTCATTTGTTTCTGCATTAGAATGATTTTCATTACTATTCTTGCTAGCATCTGAAGTTATTGATTTCATAATTATTTGTTCTATTTTTATTTTTTCTACTAGGTTTAGTTCTTTTGATTTTATTATTTCTCTTTTCAACGTTGGAAGACTTATAGACATACCTACCTTAAGTGAATTTTTCGGTACTGCTATTTTAGCTTTCTTCACTCTACCCTTCTCTGCTCCAATTTGATTCCTCTCTCTTTGCTGGTTTTGACACCTTCTCCTCTACCTTTTTTAATAGCTGTATTCAAGGATGGCTTTGTCTTTCTGTAGATTCATTAGATTCCTCTTTCTTCATACGCTATTTTATCATCTTCATTCCAACGAAACTCATCTAACCCATCGTATGCTAGCTTTTACATCTGTTGCAGTGATATCCTCTGCACTCTTAAAAAAGAAACGTCAATGCTCTACTATATTTATTAATTGCTCTACTTTGCTCCTAGACAATTTAGGTAGTTCAATAAAAATAAATTGAAAATCTTTCAAGTAATGGCCATTGGTTTTTGTATCATGTATATTATGAGTAAATACACAATCAACCTTTTTAGAGAGTAAGTTACAATTGGAAATTACAATAAAGAAAACTTTCTTTAAATCAATGTCTAATTGAGCAAGTCTTAACCGATTTATCTAATTGCCTTGAGTAAGCCTTAGCAGCACAAAGTTGAACACGTTTCTCAAAGTCTTTGTTTATAGCGAGCTGCATTTCAATTACACACCTGGTTCCAGTGGCATCCTTGCGAAAACATCAACTATGCTTTGTTTGTCAGAGGTAATTTCAGGATCGATTATAGCGCTTAGGAATTCTACCGCTTGTATAGCATTTATTTCAGTGAATCCTAAAATATCATTGAGAAAGCGAATAAGAATCTTCTTATTCTTTTCAATGCCAAAGATTTTCTTAAATATTAGGTCAAATTTCAGATCAGGAAATTTTGATAAAGCCATGATACAATAACTTTTAAAACTTTAATATTATATATTACGATACAAAATTTATCAAAAATTTTTTATGTAGTAAAATCGGCATATATATTTTTAACCTTCATCCCGACAAAGCAGTATTGGGTAGTGATTTACGTAGAGCTCTATCGTTATTCGACAAAGCAGTATTGGGTAGTGATTTCAGTATTGGGTAGTGATTTACGTAGAGCTCTATCGTTATTCGACAAAGCAGTATTGGGTAGTGATTTCAGTATTGGGTAGTGATTTACGTAGAGCTCTATCGTTATTCGACAAAGCAGTATTGGGTAGTGATTTACGGAGAGCTCTATCGTTATTCGACAAAGCAGTATTGGGTAGTGATTTCAGTATTGGCTAGTGATTTACGGAGAGCTCTATCGTTATTCGACAAAGCAGTATTGGGTAGTGATTTCAGTATTGGCTAGTGATTTACGGAGAGCTCTATCGTTATTCGACAAAGCAGTATTGGGTAGTGATTTACGTAGAGCTCTATCGTTATTCGACAAAGCAGTATTGGGTAGTGATTTCAGTATTGGCTAGTGATTTACGGAGAGCTCTATCGTTATTCGACAAAGCAGTATTGGGTAGTGATTTCAGTATTGGCTAGTGATTTACGGAGAGCTCTATCGTTATTCGACAAAGCAGTATTGGGTAGTGATTTCAGTATTGGCTAGTGATTTACGGAGAGCTCTATCGTTATTCGACACCACTTAGCATTTCTGAAAGTCTATTGCAAACAGTTCAGTTAATATGCCGTTTTTTAGTTACAAAAGAGATTGATAGTTGAGTTATAGAATGTGAAAAGAACAGGATAAAAGGCTTGGGTGTAAAGAAGTCTTTAATATTTTTTTTTATGTTTTAAATATTTAATAATCGTGACTTAGTTGCTTCTTGTTGCAACTAACCTTTAGTCATAAATATTTTAGAAATTTACTAGGCAAAAAAAAGGCAAAAGATATATCGTGGTAGACAGTATTTACTCTTCACTCCTACAAATTAGTATATTATACTGTCCTAAACGCTTTATAAGCGAGTTTCAACTTATATAGGTAAAAACCTAGAAATATTATGAATATATAAGGTATATATAGTGCGAAAAATTAAACATAAGATACCAACTATATAATACTTTGTCATTATCTAGGTGGAATTCCTAATTTTTATTAGTGACAATTGAAATTGATCATTCAAATAATATTGTAAAAAAAAATTAGGGTGAAAGTTGGTGATATTAGGGTGAAAGTTGGTGATATTAGGGTGATATCAGAGATATCTTCTGTATATTATATTTGCTAATAGAAAAAGACTTACAAAACAGATTTATGAGAGTCATTTAAACTACTTTTCCTGAAATTTTGTTTTTAGCGCAGTGGAATTTTTACTTTATTTATTTAATACTTCTGAGTCGTACACAATTATATTGTTATAAGTGAGAGAACTATATTAATGCAAAATACAGAAGTTAAAGTTAAGTTAAAATGAAAGTAAAATTTTGAATTATGGAACCTATAATTTCTGTTTTAGTATTACGTTAAGTGAAATTATTAAAGCAGTTATTTTAATAATAATAACAGATAAAAATGTATGGAATAAGGAAATTCATTAAAATATTTTCAGGAAAAGTGAAATGATTTGCAATTTTTGTGCTATTTATCATGATATTCAAGAAAAGCACTATTAATCTGATTTTATTTTTAAATAAATAATATTTGCTGTCAATGGAATAATCTAATTTCTTTTTAAATTTGAACTTCATTTTCTTTATTTTTGTAATCCCTTCAGATAACTCATATTGCAAGATATTGATGCTAACATTTCCTATTTAGGCTGCATTTTATATTTTTTTTCTTAACAGATAAAGTAGGATGCAGTGGTATATTTGTTAGGCTTAATTATTATTTTCATTTCATTAAATGTAATTAATTTTACTGTCCAGTAGGTTTTCTAATAAAAGAAAATTCAGTAATAATCATAACGAAAATATGGAAAGCATATTTTAGAGGAAAAGAAGAGTACTTAGACATAAAATGAAATGAAAAATGAATTGTCAAGAAAGTAATTAAAATTTTTGTAAGTTATAGTAACATTTTTTAATTGTAAAGAAGTGGAGTATTTGTAAAATATTTGTAATGAGATAATGAATTGAAACTATTTTCATTGGAATGTTCCAAGCAAAAATTCTATTTATCATGGATAGAAGAATGGATAGACTAATTGTTTTTATGTATATTACTACAACACATATTAAAATTTTTACTTTTGTCTGTAAAAAATTACAGAATGTTTAAATTAAAAAAAACTTTATATTCAGATGAGCAATCATAGTCCTGGAATGTTTCCATGAGTTTCTCAAAGCACTTCCATTTCATCAGAATTAAAACTGCATGAACAACTTTCATGAAAATAAAATAAATGCAAAACACAAGAATAAAACATCATTTTAAAAAAAATGGCAATAAAATAAGCGAAATTTTGCCTCTTCTCATGTTAGGAGAAAACAATATGACTATTTATAACAGTAAACAAACATCATAACATTAATAGAAAAAAAAAAAACTGCAAACAAAGAAACTAGTTGAAAGACAGAACAAAGAACATTTTAAATATTTCCGATTTTCAAGCCAAATAAGGCTTTTGAAATAATTTGAATTAAGTAATTTTGGATCGGCAAGTAAATTCTTTCCAAACAGTAATTCCTGGTGAAGCTGATGCCAAAAAA